TTTGAACCGCCTAGTCGAAGTGAGCTATTCAACAATGACTTCGTTTTTGTATGAATCCTTTTATTCGTATGTTTTTACTTTTCTCTTTCCCACAATCTGCTGTGTAAGCTTATGTCCTCTCTCAAAGTTAACTTTGCCGTCTTGTCGCAACAATAAATTAGCTTCTTCTATATGGAAAAAGTCGAGAGAGAAGTTTCAGAAATCTAATATCACTGGAAATCGTTGACGAGCACAATGATATATTCACGAAGCTCACTCACGCAGTGGGCAAAAAGTCGGGTCCAAGTGTGCGCAAGAATCGGAATCTTTTTGAGCCAGTGCCGATTGGCTGTTTCTATTCTCAGAAGGGTTACTTGACAAGTTTGGTTTTTCAAATGCAAGCCTTTGCATGGGGTCAAAACCCAATATATAATGAAACTCCGGCTACTTTGAAAGACTCGTCGTCTCTTCAAAATCAAAGGAACCCCTCTTTGTTACTACAGTTGGATGCCTGGCTTATCTCCGAGATAAATCGGTGCTGAGAACGCTTTTTTTCGCAACTCATGCTGTTTCTTCCAATTTCGCTGAGACCGAGCTTGAATTGCCTCCTTCTGGCTTTCCTTTATCAGTTTAATGTGAACATAGTATTCCTAATAAATGGAGTAATCAATTATACGCTTTATTAGTCCTCTGGGACTACTCCGAAGATAAGTTTTGATTGAAGGCCGCTGCCGAAGGCTGTACGATATAGCGAATGTACTGGTTGCACTGGGTCTCATCAAAAAAGTTCACTATCTCTTTGGAACCAAGAAAATTCCACTATTCGTATACTGTGGTCCCGAACCTGACGGTTAGTTCCAATGCCATAACACAGATCCTCTCTCGAATCGAGCAACATGGTTTGTTTTTTCAGAGAACTCCACGTTTGACGTGAACGCATGCATTGAACGACTTTTGGCATCAACAGCTTCTACCCCACTCACACCTCAGATGAAGGTAAAATTCCTCGATCTGATCCAGGGACCAATATGTTGATAATGAATTGATTCTTGAATTTTAGGCAACCACGGCGGCAATGCAACAATCGCTCTCACTGGGTAAGCGCAGCACCTCCGAGGCTAACTTGCAGGTGCCTACGGCGAACAAAATTCCCCGCATCAAGTGAGTGCCACAGCCAATTCGAAGCTTTCCGAACCATAAGCTAGGAATATTCTTTTTTTTGGTCTTTCATCCGTAGACACTGATTCCTTGATTTTCTCAGATCAGAAGACTTCATGTCGCAAGCGTCATCATCGCTGATGATGTTTGCTGAATTGGCAGCAGAACGGCTTCGTCAAGAGACTGAACTTCGCCAGCGTCCATCGACTGCGCAAGAAACAAAACCAATGACCAGCACGTCAACAAAGCCTCCCGCCGTACCATTGGCTAGGACGAGTAGCGGCCATGCTCTTCCGAAACCACAAGCGCAGGTTGGTAAGAATGGGAAAAGCGAAATGTTAATTGCATCAGATTTTGGAAAGGGAANATCCAGGGACCAATATGTTGATAATGAATTGATTCTTGAATTTTAGGCAACCACGGCGGCAATGCAACAATCGCTCTCACTGGGTAAGCGCAGCACCTCCGAGGCTAACTTGCAGGTGCCTACGGCGAACAAAATTCCCCGCATCAAGTGAGTGCCACAGNTTGGCTAGGACGAGTAGCGGCCATGCTCTTCCGAAACCACAAGCGCAGGTTGGTAAGAATGGGAAAAGCGAAATGTTAATTGCATCAGATTTTGGAAAGGGAAATAAAAGAGAAATGAGGAAATGAAAAATACTGAGAATTCGGCTTGAGTCGGAATTATTTGCGGAAACACTTCGGTCAGTACGATTTTGCGCTGATCTCTATTCCACAACGACCTGCTCCTCGGACTAACCCACACTATCATTCAACCCCCCGTGATTTTCCTAGAATAGGTATCGCTGCTTGATGGGCAAGAATTAGGGATAAACATCTCAGCAATTACATTCGAATCTTGTACGCGTCTACTTATTATGCCTACTTGTTTACTGTTTATTTCATTTTCATCATCTCGATACGGGTTTGTGGTTATAGTGGTTCCTATGTTTGGTTAGATAAAAATATACAATTCAGCCTTTTATATCGTGGGCATCGATTTGCTTGGTTTGACTTAAGCCACATGGATACTGTAACCAACAAAGTCTGAATTAATCCCTATCGATGTTAAAGCTCAAGTCTTTCAAAATATCAATTTCTAGTAAAGGGGGGTAAACGGCGCAACCCAAGTGAATAGATATAGGTTTTTCCCATATCAATCCGAATAATAATTCGTTGAGTGAGTTTGTCGGAAGAATAGTTAAGAACTGCTCAAACAGTGTGTCAAAACTCATGTCTTAAGTTCTCCAAGGCCAAAATTAAGCCGAAAAAAGGGCATATGTGTATATATGTAATATATGCTTTCATCCGGTTTTGAACTTGAGAAGTAAATATCTAACCTTCATGATTTCCAACAATTTCAGCGTTCGTTTGGAAATTTCTCAGTGTCACCGTTGAGTTCGCCGATGACCGGCGCTAAGCAATACACGATGAAGATCGGTA